ACCCCCCCCCCCCCCCCTTTATTACAGACTGCAACAACCGTATTCATCAAATAGTCGATGGTGGAGAAAAATAACTTCAAATTAGAAAACAAAAAAAAAGATTATTATCGAGTACATAGCAATAATTATAAATGAAATCGAGCGCGCTTAAATGAAAAAACAATATTTTCTTTTTTAATATACAAATAAATAATAAATTCTCGCTCTTTTCATCGATTCTCAAGGAAAACAACTAAAGTTGACGAGAAGTCTTTCAGTATACAGATGATGCGTCAGGTAACAAAGCTAAAGGTATACGTGAGTTCCACATTCCAGCTCCGCAGGAGCTGCGCTAACAAGCTTTTTTTCTAAATTTTAAATAACCTTGACTTTTCAATGAGAAAACGTGAGTATCAAGATATACCGTGGAGAATTATTTCTGCTAGACGGTGAAAAATGTCTTTTTTTTCTCATCATTGTGACTGACCACAATCATGCTGACAAACATGTGGTCAGTACACTGTTTATTATCTTTATATTTTATTTTATTTGTCAATTTCGGTAAATTACAGTTCACCCTTCACATAAGGTTATTATTAGGTAATATATAAATTGAAAACTTTTTACTTATTGAAAAAGTTTTCTCTTAATATTAATTCAGTATCTATTTGCATTTTCTTGACAGTTGCATACTCCATTAAATCAAAAGATGTTTTTGCATAGTGATATCATTTCTACTTGTACAACTGTGTAGCCTTTTTGTAAAAGAAGTCTTCTTCTTGTACTCACTTATCCTTACAATACCAGTATATAAAAGAAACCTACACAGGGTGACCTCACTGACGAAAACAAGTGTCATGCACAGACAGATTGAAAAGGTCCACAGCTCGACATGGGAAACTTCAAGCGACAACAAATAGTAGGCCTGTTGAGACCTCTGCTTTCTATGAACTAGCTGAAGTAAATGCTATATAATCTGAGATGTGTTCCATTTTAAAAACTCATAGTAATTAAGAGAAGAAATGGTGAGTTCGAAACAAAAAAAATTCAGTTATAAAAGATTCGACATATTACATGATTTTGAAATTGCAGTAAGCACAATAATGAAGAACTGATTTACGACTGTTTCATAGAATATAAGAAATACTCTCTGTAGGAGTACATCTTGACTTCAAAACTGCAGTCTAGTTAGTCTAATAGTTCCATTGAGAGAAACGGGCATCATTACCAATGTTATCATATGTTTAAATGTATCAAAAAAATATATTTTTATAAATCATACCATTTTTAATTGATATTGATGATAAATAATCTGAAATAAAGATTGAAATCTTTTTTAGTTATAGGTTCAATTGGCTATTGTTAAATAAAAACATAAAAAGCTGATCGCTGTTTTTCCTTTAATGACATAACACACTAATAATTTTAGAAACTGTTTCAATATTCTGATACAAATTATCATTTTAAATTTAAGACACATCACTATAAGCTCAATGAATAAATGTTTATAAAAGAGAACAACTGATACTGTTACAAATAAAATACTAAGATTCGAGCAGAGCGAAAATTTAAAAACAGCTGTCATAATTTTATTTGACTATTTGAATTATTTGAGGAAGATGATATTTGAGATATTTCGGAACTCACATTTATCATTGTAAAAGCTGATCTTGAACAATGACTAAATTATATAATAAAATGAAATTTTCGAACTCCATCCGATTTTGATACATTATCATAAATGGTTTCTTTGTTGCAATTAAACGCACACCCAAATAGGTTTAGGATATTGTTCAAAAAATGGAATCATAAATCTTGTTGAACATTTGTATTATTATTCGAATATCATAAACATGTTTAGCTGTTGATTCATCATTTATTATTGATGATTGAAAATTGTTCGATGAAGATGTCATTATATCATACGTTGATGTATTTATATCATGTTCATGAGAATTTTTTGTAAAAAAGATTTGTAAATTTATTCATATAATCCATTGATGGACGATGATGATTATTATTTCGACGAATGAAAATTGTTTTAATTTGCTCATTAACTAAAGCAAATGGTACATCACATTCACGTTCTTTAGAACAGGATAATGTACAACGATTTGCATCTAATTCATGATCGGTTTGTTCACTGAAACGTGATTTATGTAGTACGAAATATTCCATCTACTATTGTACTATATTTTGTTTCAAATGTTAAATTATCATAGAAGACGAACAATATAAGAAAGATTTTCTACATTACTTAGATTTTTTGACTTATATTTTAGTTTTCGTGATAATGTTGCATCACGAAATTCCTTTCAAAAAAAAGGTTATATCAATTATAGAAGATAATACTGATTACTTTAAGCCAAATGTTCATTTGATTTGGACCGATAGATGAACATAAACCGCTTCGGCAAGACCGATTTGCAAATATAATCAATCAAATTTATCTATTAATGTTGTCTAGACATGCTTTATCTTTTATGTCGAAAAGGATCCTTCTATAATCTATAAACAACATAATAATACTAACCGATCAATGATGTAAGTTTGTAAGAAAATACTATTGTTTCTTCTGTCGTTTTTGTTGTTGATGTATTCGAATATTTGTCAATTTCAGTTTTGAAATCTATGTATTTCTACATAGATTTATGAACTCGTAATGATGACTTTCGTGATAATGCAACGCATCTCAAATGCATGTTCAATATACATTTCATGCTCATGTGTGATGCGAGAGAATGAAGAAAAACGATGCATATCTATCTCGCTGACTCGTTGTTTGTCCACACAAAACTTAAGGCAAGAACGAATCGAAAGAAAATGAACAATTCATACGTGCACTATGACTCTTGCTCAATTCGCGAACATACATACACATATATATATATATATATATACAAGTTTGTAAAAGAAGGGTTTCATCTGAAACTCGATATGAAAATTTACATATATCTCTCTTATTCATCTTATGTATGTGACTTTTTTTTT